AATATGGGGAAGAAAAAGGATCTCTCTGCTGCCAAAAAGCGTGACATAGTTCAATGCCTTGGACAGGATATGAAAACATTAGATATTTCACGAAAACTTAAGCGTGATCATCGCACTATTAAGAGATTTGTGGCTGATTCAGAGCCCAGACGGGCTTGTGCAGATAAAGGCACATTGAGGAAGATTTCTGCCAGATCATTGGATCAAGAGAGCAGCTGCTAAAATACCATTACATAGCAGCAAACAGATATTTGAAGCTGATGGTGCCTCTGGAGTCCCATGGGCATCAAGGTGTAGAGTCCTCCAGAGTCTTGCAACTGTGCATAAACCTTCTTTTCAGCCACCACTAACCAATGCTCACAAGCTGCATTGGGCAGAAAAATACATAAAGACTAATTTTCAAACAGTCCTGTTCACTGATGAGTACCGTGCAACCCTGGATGGTCCAGATGGATGGAGTAGTGGATGGTTGGTGGACGGCCACCCTGTTCCAACAAGGCTGCGACGTCAGCAAGGCGGTGGTGGAGTCATGTTTTGGGCCAGAATCATGGGTCCCTTTAGGGTCCCCGAAGGTGTAAAGATGACCTCTGCAAAGTATGTGGAGTTTCTGACTGACCACTTTCTTGGTACAGAAGGAAGAACTATGCTTTCCGTAATAAAATCATCTTCATGCATGACAATGCACCATCTCATGCTGCAAAGAATACCTCATTGGCTGTTATGGGGATAAAAGAAGAGAAAGTCATGGTGTGGCCTCCATCCTCCCCTGACCTCAATCCTATTGAGAACTTTTGGAGCATCCTCAAGCAAAAGATCTATGAGGGTGGGAGGCAGTTTACATCCAAACAACAGCTCTGGGAGGCAATTCTGACATCTTGCAAACAAATTCAAGCAGAAACTGTCCAAAAACTCACAAGTTCAATGGATGCAAGACTTGTGAAGTTGCTATCAAATAAGGGGTCCTATGTTAAAATGTAACGTGACCTGTTAAAATGTTTAAAAAGTTAACATGTTGTTATAAGTGTGACTGAAATAGCTTTTGATATCAGTAAATATGCTGCAAAAACAACAAATGACCGTTTTCAGTTCTTTACAACCTATAAAGTGTATTGAAACTTACTGTGCGTAATAATTTGGAACAATGCATTGTAAGTTTTTTATGTTTAAAAAAAATACTGTTATCATTAGGAGGTTTGTTCAATAAAATTTAAATTGTATTTTTAATAGTTGATAACATGAGAATTATGCTGACTGTTATTTACATAAATTATTTAGGTAAAATGAGAAAAATAACATTTGCATAATAATTTGGAACAGGGTGTAGTGATAGAAAAACAGGTTGCTCCAAATAACTAGACAGTACTATTATTGCTAAGGAATACAGCTGTATGCAAGTAGTAGTAAAAACAAGGGGCCATCTGTTGGTTCGATTGTAACTGCTTCTGATACACAAAAGGGGGTAAGCAATTCAAGAGGGGGATTAAGAGACACAGGTGAAGATGCTTATTTTTGGGGGGGGGGATGGGGTGGGCAGCAAAATTAATCTTCACCTGTGTAACCAAAAATCCTTGCACCTGCCCTGGGTGTTCACAATATGCAGTGGTAAGTACCTAACAAACGTGGTGCAGGGAACTGGCGTCAGGGTCATGGGCACCCAAGGAACATCGATGCACTGTCACGGCCCTCGGCTCGCCGCCATATGCGTCCGTGCCTGACCGGCACAACCGCACCAACTCACTGAGCTTACCTGTTCAGCGGCCAACCTGAACCGTTCCTCCACGCCGCTCTGGGATATCCAAGATGGCGCCGACCACGAGGTCGCTTCCATCCATGGCTCCACCCCCCCAAAATTATACGAACGTGCGCGTGGCGTCACGACGTCAACGCACGCGCACGTTCTGGGGTCAGAGGTCATCCCTAATTCACCCCAGTTCCTTGCCATGTCGTGGTTTCCTGTTCCTGGTTCCCTAGAGTGTGTTTATCTTTGTGAATATTACATCCTGGTATCCTGATCTTGGCTTTTCCCTGGTAATTCCGAATTCTGGTTGGCTTGTTTAAACGGTATCTGAGTATTTCTGGCTTCCTTGACCTCGGCTTTCCCTTTGACCATTCTCTATCTCTAGTGTATTAGTCCGGCCATTCTAAGGTCCGGTTTATGCTCTGTCCTTTTATTTCCTTTCCTTTTGTATGTATATGTTTACATAGTTTCTGCGTGTTGGACCACACTAGCAGCCGTGACATGCACATAGCGAGTGAGGGCTAATCCATCTGCTTGAAGTGTGCACAGAAGAGCTACTGTAGCTCAAATAGCTGAAAACCTAATGCTGACCATGATAGAAAGTCACTGTTTATTGCGTATGGGGCTGCATAGTCCCAGACTGGTCAGAGTGCCCATGATGACCTACGTCTACTGCCAAAAGTGTCTTTAACAGACATCATAACTGGACTATGGAAGAATATTGCCTGGTCTGATAAATCAAGTTTCCTTTACATGTGGATAGTCGAGTGCATTGTTTACCTGGTGAAGAGATGGCAGCACAAGAGGGACCTACACAATATTAGGCAGGTGGTTTTAAAGTTGTGGCTGATCACTGTATATAATATATATCACTAATCCTGTAGTAGTAGTCGCTCAGCATCAGATCAATAGAAGCAGGGTTCTACAACACTAGACAGGACACAGACTGTGCAAAGATGCCTCCAAGACAATCCAGCACAAAAACCAGCATCATAACATCAAGAAGAATGAACATTTGGAAGGTGGATAAAGACCAAGGACCTAAAAAGGAGCTAGAAAGGATGTTGAATGTGAAGCAGTAATAGTGTCAGTTGTGATGGGGGCACCTGGAGCTCTAACCATTAAGTTGGAAGAATGGCTGTTTTCCAGGCCGCCGCTTCACGTAACTTTCCTAAATTTTGTTTCTCAGGTTTTTTTTTTATAGCCTGACGTGTCTCCTGATGTGCCCTGCTCTAGTAAAAAAATAATAACAGCAATAGCCTAGTGCTTTTCACTTGGAATATTTTGAAAGGAATACTCCCATCCTCATTACAGCTTCAGCTCATTGGAGTTGTTATAAGGTCAGGAATGTCTGTGTGCCGTATTATCTTACCTTATCGAGGGGGTATACTGTTTTTCAGCGGTTGAAACTATATGGTCCTTTGATGCCCTGACACAGCTGCCCCCTGTTTTTTTCGCTCTCTGCCACTGGTAAGTTTAGCCAGATGGACAGTAGTAGGCGGAGAGTGTTTGCCGAAACATATTTATTAAAAAAAATATTAGTTACATTTAATTTATGTTCTAGTCATTTTGTCTTTTCTACCAAGAAAGCCAACATGCCAATTATGACTTTATTGCACTTATATATTTTGATTAGCTACACCCTTACTTACAATCCACAGCTTCCTTTGTTTCAATCTGTTTAACCATGTAATCGTACCACAGTATTTTTATGTTGTTTGCCTACTTAACTAGATATTATGCTGTTTGCCTCTTAAATAGATGCTTAAATATAATAAACAAAAATATTACTTTCAGGAAATTTTGAAGATTTGAAAACTACAACTCCATTTCAGTCCATCCCCAATTATTTTGCCTGATAGATGACTTTCAGCAAGATTAGCTCAGTTCTTCTATAGGAGAAAGGACTATCAAGCCTCAACTTACCTCAGTTCTTGATCTTGAACTTCCTAAGTCCTCAAGGACTGTCCAACAAAAGTTATTGATATTGCTCCATGAAATAGAATATGCGGGCCTGTCCTATGTCTCTAATCCATTCAACTGGGAATAAAACCTAAAGTTTTCAAAGGACATGAGGAGGTTAGAGTTCAAAGATACTGTGACTTCTATGAGAATGGTTCTATTGTTTACTTTGACATCCTCTTTCGGAGAGGTCTTCCTCCAACAGGTAATTTTTCCACTATTATATAGTTTTGCTAGTGTCGCAGGGGTGGCTCAAGCTGCCAAGTAGAGTGCAATTGGTTTGAAGCTATGTGTCTCCAGGGTATATATGTAAAAGGGCTTATCACTTGCCTCACCAACACCTTAACTCTTCACGGATATATGATGCTCCTTTACCCTATATCTCTACCTGGGAAGGGGTTCTTGGGGATAGGAGGAAACTGCTAAAATTCCCATGTGTGTTGTACTACAGAAACAGGCTTATAAAATGCTCATGAAGAAGTGCGTGACTCTGATGAAGCTATCCTATAAGAGTGTAGCCCTTTCTGATGTTTTTCCTAGAAGTAGATATATATTGGGTCACTCTTTAAACAGTGCTGTCAGAAATATTTTGAAGTCTGTGGATGTGTCCCTTTGTCTGTTTCATAGTAATTTGCTTGAAAAAAAACTAAAATCCATCAAGTTCAGCCCGTAAGGCACATAGTTTTATTCTGTTTTATCCTGTTGAGACAAAAGAAGGCATAAAAAAACAATTCAAAGTAATAGGCAATTATACCTTGATTCTTTCACATCCCACGAGAAAAGCAGAGAAGAATTAAGATTCAGCAGGGCTATAGGGATGATGAATGGGAGCATGCAAATTCATGGTTACGAGGCCACTGTTTAAACCCTTTGCCCTAGGTGGACGTCTTAAGACAGCCTTTTGCAAATCTACTCTGGAACGGTGCACAGGGCCATTTGAGAAGTAAGGAGATTTATTGACACACCATCCTGATCTGCAATTTCCAGAAAATCACAAGCACAAGTTTTTATAAACAAACAGACAAGTCTAAGAACACTAAAGTCCTATCTAAAACTCGTGGAGCCATGGCTAGAAATCGAATAATACAGAAAAGTTTGTCACACCATAGTCTATTTCCTCTCTGAAGCATAATGTTCTGGACTTGAGGACTCTTGTTCCATTCTTCCCCTTCTCCCTTTGTCTTTTCTTGCATACTTTTTTCTACTTTTTGACAACTTTGTACAAAATTACAACTGCACAGATCAGACTTTGTACTACTGTACTATTATGCCTATTTGATTTTACTACTAACTGAATAACGTATTTTTAAAAAAATAAATAAAAAGCTGTGTAAACTATGAAAGTTCATATTAATTTAGCTTTGTGAATAATTAAATATTCTTTGGCTTGGAATTCGCTGATGAAATGCTTTTAACATTTTATGGACTGCAGTAAAAACTGCAAATAGTTCCAGGAAGTGATTTCACTAAGGGAAATTCCAACTGCAGGAATGTATTTCAAATCACCCACATAAAGTTCAGAGAGGAAAAAATAAGGTGGCACTTTAAGAACTGAAAATCAAATTCCAACTTTAAGGTCACAATTGCCTTAACTTGCTATTAAGGTTCAAATTTTGTATTTGACTGTTTAATAAAATTCCCTGCTTAGTCATTAATCACCCACAGGTTTAATCACTATTGTTGGGAATGAATTCAAAAGTCGTTTCAAAGTGGATTTAAAACTTTAAGTTGAATGGGAAATATAACGGACTTGAAAACTTTTTCCAATTCAGCTATTTTGATCAAAAGTTTTCAATTCACTTACAGGGTTATTTACTAAAGTGAGAATTGTAGAGAATTTAAAATGAATTTCAGATTTTAGGCCAAACAAGCCAAGTCTGTCAATTCTGTTTTCAGTTGGGTATTTTGGCCTTACATTTGAAATTCACTTTAAATTGCCAACCATTTCCTCTTAAGTAAATAACACTGACTATCTGTTCCCAACAATTCACACTCTTTGAAGAGCATTCATTAAGGTGTAAATTGTCAGGAGTTCCAAGTGAATTCAAAGACGAAATTATTGTAAAAGGGCAGGAGGGCTCTTATATTCACCGTTTTCTCAGCAGTGGGCTTTAGAAGGGGCTTTCCAGGACCAGGTACATAGCCAGTGGTAACTGTGGTCGTCAGTGTCATGGAATTGCATCAGTGGCAGGCCTTTCCCTGACTTGATCGTTGGAGAGGAACTGTCCATTTGTGGTACTTGTGGATAGGACTGCAGCCCCTACTGATTGGCCAATTCTGAAGGAGAGAGAAACAGAGGGCCTTGTTAGTGCATTCTGTACATTTAGAACTTAATCTCCCATGTCAGGCTATCATGGGAATCAAGGGATTGCAGAGTTGCTTTTGTGAGCCTGGTGAGCTCAACCCATTGGAACATTCTGGAAAGAATGTTACTAAAAACCTTGTGTCATATCTAGTATTGTATGCAAATGTATTATGTATCACATGGTATATCCTAGGGGTCAGCAACCTTTCTCATACGAGGGCTAGATGTGTATCCATGGAGGGACGTATAGAAACATAGAAACATAGAATGTGACGGCAGATAAGAACCATTCGGCCCATCTAGTCTGCCCAATTTTCTAAATACTTTCATTAGTCCCTAGTCTTATCTTATAGTTAAGATAGCCTTATGCCTATCCCACGCATGCTTAAACTCCTTTACTGTGTTAACTTCTACCACTTCAGCTGGAAGGCTATTCCATGCATCCACTACCCTCTCAGTAAAGTAATACTTCCTGATATTATTTTTAAACCTTTCCCCCTCTAATTTAAGACTATGTCCCCTTGTTGTGGTAGTTTTTCTTCTTTTAAATATGGTCTCCTCCTTTACTGTGTTGATTCCCTTTATGTATTTAAATGTTTCTATCATATCCCCCCTGTCTCGTCTTTCCTCCAAGCTATACATGTTAAGATCCTTTAACCTTTCCTGGTAAGTTTTATCCCGCAATCCATGAACCAGTTTAGTAGCCCTTCTCTGAACCCTCTCTAAGGTATCAGTATCCTTCTGAAGATACGGTCTCCAGTACTGTGTACAATACTCCAAGTGAGGTCTGACCAGTGTTCTGTACAATGGCATGAGCACTTCCCTCTTTCTACTGCTAATACCTCTCCCTATACAACCAAGCATTCTGCAAGCATTTCCTGCTGCTCTATTACATTGTCTGCCTACCTTTAAGTCATCACAAATAATCACCCCTAAATCCCTTTCTCATATGTTGAGGTTAGGACTCTATTAAATATTCTGTACTCTGCCCTTGGGTTTTTACGTCCAAGATGCATTATCTTGCACTTATCCATGTTAAATGTCAGTTGCCACAATTCTGACCATTTTTCTAGTTTACCTAAATCATTTGTCATTTGACTTATCCCTCCTGGAACATCAACCCTGTTACATATCTTAGTATCATCAGCAAAAAGACATACCTTACCATCAAGACCTTCTGCAATATCACTAATTTTATATATTAAAGAGAATGGGTCCAAGTACAGATCCCTGAGGTACCCCACTGGTGACAAGTCCAAGCTTCGAATATATTCCATTAACTACAACCCTCTGTTGCCTGTCACTCAGCCACTGCCTTACCCATTCAACAATATTTGAATCCAAACTTAAAGAATGCAGTTTATTGATAAGCCTTCTATGTGCAACAGTGTCAAAAGCCTTAAAAGTCAAAAGTATTCATTTATATAGCTAAAAATGCAGGATAGTAATGGAAATAATTCTGGTAATAACAATAAAACACAGGAGACGAGCCAATTTCTTAATTATGATCTTTCTGCAGTTTAGTAGATGGCATGGGACTCTTGTTCATGGGTGGAGAGAAGGAGACATAATATCATCATGACATATACCCCCTCTCTATTAGTGTAAGGGTCTTCAAGTTTTCCTTTGGCCGAGTGTTTCTCTATCCTAGGAACACCCCTCTCAGCAACATAAAATATCTCAGTATGTGTGGCTTTTCATACTGAAATTCTGGACACACAGGATTCTTACAATGACCAATACAAAACACTGAACTGGTCACAGTATTTGGAGTAGCCCTTTAAAAACTGCCAAAAATAGCTGTGAACCTCAAAGCCAACGTCTTCAAACTCTTCACTGATTTAATGATATGATATTTGAGCCTCCATGACGATGCTTTTCTTATGTGAAACTTGAATTACTTTCACATGACTCAAGTAATGACTTAATTACATCCTGACAGGTTAGAATTTCCATGACAACCAGTTAAATGCATTTGATTACCACAATTGACATGAAAGATGTATAGATCCTTGATGACAGCATCTTAAATTATAAAGATATTTGCAAAGTCTTAAAGGACCACTATAGTGCCAGGAAAACATACTCGTTTTCCTGGCACTATAGTGCCCTGAGGGTGCCCCCACCCTCAGGGTCCCCCTCCCGCCCGGCTCTGGAAGGGGGAAAGGGGTAAAAACTTACCTTTTTCCAGCGCTGGGCGGGGAGCTCTCCTCCTCTCTCCTCCTCCGTTCCTCTTCTCCTGTCGGCTGAATGCGCACGCGCGGCAAGAGCTGCGCGCGCATTCAGCCGGTCGCATAGGAAAGCATTTATAATGCTTTCCTATGGACGCTGGCGTGCTCTCACTGTGAAAATCACAGTGAGAAGCACGCAAGCGCCTCTAGTGGCTGTCAATGAGACAGCCACTAGAGGCTTAACCCATTCATAAACATAGCAGTTTCTCTGAAACTGCTATGTTTATGAAAAAATGGGTTAACCCTAGCTGGACCTGGCACCCAGACCACTTCATTAAGCTGAAGTGGTCTGGGTGCCTAGAGTGGTCCTTTAAGGTCAACTATTTCTGAAAGCTTTCGTGTATGTCACATATCAGTGGCCAGTGGAAGTGCATATTGAGTGTGGTTGACTAAATCTACCCCAGATTTGCCTTTAGTAAAATCTGGTCACCGGTGCACCATGTACGGTGAGGTGTGTTTGAGGCTTATTCACTATACTAAATTAGGTGAGCTGAAAAATATTTTCAAATTAGTAAAGTTGGAGATTATTTTCTTACTTAGCTGTTTTGGCTTGAAAGGAGTCAGTTAACACCAGACTTTTACCAAGCACAGAAACCAGTGATGCACATGCCTCCCAATAGTTCCAATTTCGATGGGACAGTCACGATTTATAAAACTCCTGTCCCTTATTTGTTCCCTGTTGTCTCACTTCTTGGAGCACCAGGGAATTGTCCCCAACAATCAGAATGCAAGTGCATTATAAGTAGCACTCACTCTATATTCAGGGCACTGGATCCTGCAGGGAGCAATGAGACAGGCAGGGTCAGCCCTCAGTCGGGCAGCTTAAATGATTGTCGGGCAGCTTAAATGATTGTCAGGCAGCCTGGTGTGCATTTACCTTTCTGGATGGATCCGTCCCCTTTCTGTGCAGGTCTGCCTCCTTTTGCCCCCTCCCACTGGCGTCTTAATTCGGCAGCATAGTAATAGAAATAATAATGGTAATGTGGCAAACCTAGCCACTTGGACTATATCAAGAGACTATGCCTTTAAGGGTTGCCTATATGTCAGTGGGGATATGTGTTCATCTATGTACAATGTATGCGGGCTGTAATAACTGTGTATTTCCTGTATTTGCTATCCGCCGAATGCAGATAGCTATTTGTATGAGGTTTTCCGTTCGTTTCATGAACGGCACTTTGTCAGGCCGTTCGTGAACCGAAAACCCTACACATAATAGCCCACACACTTAGTGGCGTGTGGCGCTTGTTAACCGATTGCAACAATGTTGCAATCGGTAATTAGAGGCTCTCCTAGGTGGCCGCCGTTCGACTACCGACCATGCGGCGGTCGGCCATCTTGGATCCTTTGTTCCCTCAGCGGTGTTAGGTCGTCGAGCGCATGGTACTAAAAACGGCTACTCGACGGCACGAACACCGCTGAGCCTCCAGGACGTTCGGGAGTTACGGGCCGTTCGGTATTTCATTCCCTGGAAGGCAATCGGTCTTTTTAATATGTTTTTCAATGAATGTGTTTTTCATGCGGCGTTCGGTTGTTTTAGCTGGGATCTGAGCGGTAATCTCACGAATGATGCGCTCAGACCCCAGCTATCTACCGAACGTCCATTCGTGCAAATAGACTACATATTCGAAAAGTTATGCATTTTCATGTGAATTGTCGGTTCTGCTGCACGGAGGGATAATCCACTTAACGGTATATTCCAGTGGGAGGATCCCTCTCGTGCAGCAGTGCCTGATGGGAGAAATAGCTTGTACAATAAG